GTCTGTCAGCTCGGACGCGCGCCGGGTCAGTCGGGCCCCCGAGGTCAATTAGTGCTGCTCAACACTCTCCTCTCTCTTCGACCTCCGAAAACGAGGCGAGTCTAACGCGAGTCTCTTTGCTGCCCACTCGCGCTGATGACGCGTCGATCTTTTCACTACACAACCGGCAGGTGTCCTGCTGCATTACAATCCGCTTAATGCGATTCCAAGAGATATAAGATTCCTGCCAGTGTAGACAGAAAAGTGTCATTCTGCTGCTAAAACAAGCGACTGTCTACTTTCCTCCTTCTAAGCAATGCTTATCTTCAACGAAGAATCTTTACTTGATAATCGTTTTAAAATATCACAAATTTTAGAAAATTCATTATCACACAATTTATTTGTGAAATATAAAGTGTATTTCTGAGAAAAACAAAATTTATTTCCCAAAATAAATTTTATATCCCACAAAATAAATTTTCATTTTTATTTCATATTTTTTTCTTAGTGTATACATTCAAAGGAATCTGTGTTTTGCTTTCTTTTCTTTCGCTTCAAATGAAACTTAGCGGTATCAGCAGGTTACTTTTCTGACTATAGCGAAAATTGGTTTTGTGGTCTCCAATTAGCTACAACTGTCACCTTATGAGCGTAATATCATTTTGTTAAAATATTCTAACGATTAGCCTGCATCATGATGACTAGTTATCAAGCTTGATCCTGACAGCTTTATTATAAAATATTAATTGCACACGTGGTAAGTGCATCCTGTGTTGATCAAACGTAAATAAATCATAACGTTACAGTGTCACGACGCTGACAAGAACTTTCCGTAACGACTGCAGCAAAAATCTGAAATATCGGCAAGAAGGAAATGATCCATCGCGACTCAGTGCGGAAAGTAGAGATACCATCTCGATTCCCAACGAGGCGTAACCGCGTTTCTCGTCATAGCAGGGAATTTCGTGCATCGCTATGCATCCGAGTTCCCTTTCCATTCGGCACGCGATTCGCGGCCTCCGTCGTTTTCCTAGAATTTTTTAATGTGCAATCGCGATCGACAAGGTACATCGCGCAATTCTTTTTCCTTGGCCTCCATGGCGAATCCGTCTTTCCATGGGAAGAGAAAAAAAAAGAGAAAAGAACGTTTGTCCGAGCGACGCACATTGTACAGACACATTATGCAGAGATTCCTCATGCTGCTCGAGGCACCGCTGGAACGATTTTGCGCGTTTCTGAATAAATAATACGTTATATTGATTGTGCCTCAAATATAATTAATACAAAGAGGCTTTAACATGTAAAATATTGAAGATAACCACGGCCCGCAACGACAACGGCTAACGCGCCTCATCGACCGATTCGTAATTATGGAACGCCACAATAGCATCACGACACATCATCTTTCCGTGAGAAGAAAACCCTCGCTAGAACCTTGCTCGCTCGCTCGCGCTCGCTCAAGCTCGTGTGCGCACATGCGACTGCACACACGTTGCACCGCCGTGGCCTTCGGGCGTCATTCACTCGCAGCGGCCGTGCCGCCGGTCGCCATCCACTTTCATTATGTGCGCGCGCACGCCTTTAATTACATTTTTGCATCGCAACAGCCGAGAGAAAGAAAGACGGGCCGGTACCGCGGGTATGCCATGGGTATACCGGCGGTCAGAGGAAGAAGAAAAGAGATACACACGGGCGATCCACCTGAGAAATTGTTGCGCGGACGTGACGAAGAGCCCGGTCGAGGCAGGAAGAGGCCCGGCTATCGCGCTCTAATTTTATTACTTGGAAATCGGTGAGATCGAACGGACGGCCGATCACTCGGCGTCTCTCGTTTTTCTTACCCGCGCGCTCGCGCGCAGGCTCGTGTAAACAGATCGTTGGCCGATGAACCGTAATTGCATCGCAACTATTTCGTTTAATTTCTCGCCGCGCGATGGTTGGCTGGCTGCCTGCACCTCGAGAGAACTGTCGCTGAAAAATGATCGATCTTTAAGCGCGTTGATTAATTTCGCTATCCGGCAATCATTGCGCATGTCGCCGTTGAAGGACGAAAATATGCGATCTCAGGCGGCGGATACGTGTCTAATTAATATTGATTGAGAGATTGAGCGAAGTGCAATCAACGCAACGCGCAGTTGGGATTTATTATTAGGTGGTTTCCGAACAGAACACCTCGCTCACGTTTGTTTTGCATGAAAATGTTCATAGAGCAGTGCATCAGTGTTGTTTGACGAATGGAACGGTCGGTCTATAAATAGGAAAAGATAAGACGCGGAAAGACAAAGTTCACCAGGTAAAATAATGCGCCAATGACAGCGCCGCGCAATTATTCGAATAATCATAATTAAAACGTGCCCGGCGGGGCGGTCCACGAGCGCGATGCGACTCTCAAATTTCGAAAGTGCGTGGTCCACTTTCGCGGGTGATATAAATTATGCGCTTACGACCACGGAAATATTTGCAAACAAGCGCGCGACCTCCGTGTAAATGTGCTGTAATGATTAATCGCCCGCGGTAGCCGGTTGCACCGGCTGTGCCAGGCGAGAAATTATCCTGAGCGATTCTTCGACAGTTCGTTAGGCTGAGCGGCTACCTCGCGGAATTGGCCGCTTTTACCAGGCGACTTCCTTTCTCTTTAGGCTCTCCGAAGGCGAACGCAAGTTTTAAACGCATCGCGACGGAATCGCGCGCAACCTACGAAGTTACCGCTCTCGCGAGAAGCGATCTTCCCGCGTGAAAAGTCTCACAAGCCGATTATCCGCTACCGGCCGCGAGATCGATACACTGTTTTCTACGTCGATACGTAGCGCGACTTCCGTGTAACTGGCAAAAATGATTAATCGACCTGCGAGTGAAGCGGTAAGTCTCGGCAGAACCGCTGATGAATTCTCGAAAGACGCCTTCCTGTTTCGTTTAAGGTAAAAGTACCAACTTCCAGACACGTATCTAATCCTAGGCATTCTTGTTCTGCTCTTTCTCTCTCTCTCTCTCTCTCTCTCTCTCTCTCTCTCTCTCTCTCTCTCTCTCTCTCTCTC